GTCTATTCTTACAGTCTTTAAAAAATATGAACTCATTTATAAATATTTTAAGATGTAGAACACATGAAACCCCAAGCCATATTCTTCATCTTTGTTTCCATCTTTCACAAAGGGGAATAGTATTTAAAGGTATAGCTTAGCAAATTCTTGGGACTTCATCCACATGCAAAAATTATGCAAGAAAATTCCAAAGTTATCCAGAGTTTGCCTTTCTTGGGTAAAATTATTTTTAATTTTACTTAGAAGATACTTTAGTGTTTTCTTCCCACAACCTAAAAAATTTAAGAACAGTGTTGTTATGTGATGGTGGTTGACTCCAAGAAGCCTGGGCTGAATTCCTTTTTCTGGAACTGGCCTTACTATGCTCTGGCAAAACAAAACTAAGGAAAAAAGAAAAAGAAAAAGAAAGAAAAAAAATGATAGTGCATAGCTGCCCCTGTGCCTTGGAAATAAAAGTTTCCAAAATCTTTCAAATTTAAACTAGAGACTGAGTTGTTGCCTGAGGTGATTTTCCTAAACTGTTCCCTTTTTGTTCCTAAACCAACTCCTCTTTTGTCTGCTGAGAACTGTACCTAAACCATGAACACAATTTGGTTTTAAGATTTGATTCTTTCTTTATAAGTAATATTAAATAAAGGAATTAATGTACCTTTCTCTGGTGGAATATAAATTTAAATATGCATTAAAAATGTCTAAATTAGATAACTGCAAGACTTCAAGTCATTAAGTGTTCATTGGGCATCTTGAATGAATAAGTATATGACCATATGATGTCAAAAATAAAACTAAATATGACATGACTTTAGGTCTCAAGGAGTTTATGATTAAGAAAGAAACAAATAATGTTCATTTAGCAATTAAACAAGTGAAAAGGCTGATTTGTATGTACTTTTTGAGAATATTCCACATGCCCAGTGTGGGGGTGCACAACTGTAATCCTAGCAACTCTGGAGGCTGAGGCAGGAGGATCACAAGTTCATAGCCAGCCTCAGCAACTTAGACCCTAAACAACTTAGCAAAACCCTGTTTCAAAATTTAAAAAAAAAAAAAAAAAAAAGGATAGGAATGTGGCTCAGTGGTAAAGTGCCCCTGGGTTCAATCCTGACTACCAAAAAAAAAAAAAAAAAAAAAAAAAAAAAGCCACAAAATTTCTCTGAAGGTTCTATGCATAATAAAGCAAAATAGGAAACCCAATTATATAAATCAGCTTGTTAGATAAATGACTATATCACATTAAATTTCTACTTTACTGAATGATAATCAATACAGCTGGAAAAATCCAATGAAGTGTTTTGCATTGTTCTTGGTACAAATATCCAGTTTCTCTTTTGCACCATAAATCTCATGTTAAATATTTTAGTGTTTACTATATTCCAAGGCATCATGCCATGGGCTATAAAGAATGAAAAGAGGCTTTAAAACACATTCTCTGTTCTCAAGGATTTTTTAGTATGGATTGCCCCACAAGGTTCCTACATGTAACAACCTCAAGAATTACAAAATTTCAAAGGAGGGAATTTTGTAAATTGCAATTAGGTTGTCAAGGATGTTGCATGGAGAAGACAGAAGGGTTGATGGAATTTCTGTGAGAGTTTTGCCCATTAAAGATAAGAGAAAGACAAGAATTCAAGGGCAAAGCAAAGGGCATGCAAAACATTTTCAGTGTAAAGTCACGCTTTAGTTATGCTCCAGTAACTGTTCCTTCTTGCAGTGATGGCTGATAAGGCCAGACCAGCATGTTGAGGCCACATTATGAAAGCTTTGAAGATAGGCTACGGAGTTTGTTCCTCATCCCACAGGTTTCATGGAAAGCTTTTGAGTAAGCAAGTGATCTTATGCAAAGCATGCTTTAAGAAGGTAATTCTGGAAGTAATACAAAAGTCATTTTGGAAGACGAAGAGCCTGAAAGCATAATGCTCATTTTAGAAGTCACCATTATCCTGGGTGCTAGCTGGTGAGGACAGGAATCACATGGGAGTTAAGAATGAGGAACAGACTGTCAAGTGTGTGTTTGTTTTTGTTTTAGTGGACATCCACTTACACATTGCTACAAATGAATAATATAATGAAAATGCCAAAGCTAAATGTACTGATAATTTTCCTTGTTGAGCAGCAAACTTCAGTGGAGTGATCAAGTGTCTTGTAAGAGTGTATCAATTCTTCACCTGCCTGATGTTATCAAGAACATTGTTCAAGCTGGGCGAGGCGGTACATGCCTGAAATCTGAGCCTCCTCAATTTAGCAAGACCCTGTCTCAAAATAAAAAATAAATAGGGCTGGAAATGTACTCACTGGTAAAGTGCCCCTGGGTTTAATCCCCAGTACTGGGGAAAAAAAAAAAAAAAAAGGAACATTGTTCATAACCCAGTTTTACTCATGTTCCCTGAGTAATATTCCAAGTGAGACATCCTGTTGAGTTTATCCTCAGAAAACTTGGTGTACTCTTGAGGAACTGGTATATGGTCTCCCTTCTCTCAGTAATGGCTATAAAGCTCAGTCCCTGAATGCTGGCAGGCTAGGAACCAGGCTTTCAGTTTAACCACCACAGCTGTGTTGACTTTAGGCTGTAATTTCTGTGTTCTCCTTTGTTCTCAATTTTTCTCCCCCTTCCTTCCTACATCTTGCTCGAGTTTTGCCCCAGACTCTAAACAGATGTCCCTACCTAGCACCTTCTTATGTCCAACTTCCAAACTTATTAAAATGTGGTCCGTTGAACCAACAACATTTTCAGAAATGCAGTTCTCAGGCCCCACTCTAGAGTACTGAGCCAGAAACCTCTGTGGGGAGGCCCAGAAATGTGTGTTTTCTCAAGTCCTCCAGGTGGGATTCTGACATGTGCTGAAGTTGAAAAACCATTGTTCTGGAGAATCATTGCTTTCTCTCCTGGTCTATGTGTTCTCTAGCTCATGGTGTCTCCAGTTCACTTGGAATATTTGCTCTGTTATTCTGGTAAATACTTTATGCACTTTTAAGAGTAAGTATAAATTTCTAAAAGAGCTTATCTGATTGGGAAAGTTAATTTTCTGGGCACAGTCCATGAAGCATTTATGGGAACCATGCCTCTTGCAGGCCTCCCCTCCTTAAGAAACAGACTAGCACTGCTTTCTTGAGCGGGGATGGAGTGGGGTGCAGCAGAAAATGAGATAGAAGTCATTAATTAAGAAAAAGTATACAGCATGACTCCAGAGGAGGACTTCTTGGGATTTTTTTTGTTGGATAATCTGGATCTGGACTTCTTCTGGGAATGACAGGAGGGAACAAATATTTCTTGACACCACTAGAAAGAGTTCAGAGGCAAGACAGTTAACCTGTTCTGATTTTTGAAGATGATTCAGGTAAGGTTGAAATTAAAATTCTAAGTGAAATGGACAGGGACCCAATTCCTAAACACAAATGCCATCCAACTAATATCTTTAATGGAAGCGTATGGCAAAATGCTTGCATTAACACATACTATTGCTTTCTGCCACCACCTTTTTATTCTTTTTTTCAGTACTGGGGATTGAACCCATGGGCGCTTAACCACTGAGCAATATTCCCAGCTCTTTTTATATTTGATTTAGAGACAGACTCCTGCTGAGTTGCTTATGGCCTTGATAATTTGCTAAGTTGCTGCCTTTGAATTCGCTATCCTCTTGCCTCTTGATTGGGAGTCTCGCCTCAGGTGTACATCACAGTGCCTGGTTGCCACCACCTTTTTAAAACTGAGAAATGCTTGGTAAATTTTAAAGTAATAACAGCTTCAAAGAGGTTTACTTCCTTCAGGTTACTTTGTTAGGGGCAAGAAATAGTTAAGAAGGAATAAGTTTCAGTGGAAACCTCTGATTAAATTGAGGCGGAAAGTAGATAAGGGTAGAGGCTCTGCTTTGTTTTGCCACTATGCTGTTCTGTTCAGGGGGAAAAAATAACCAAATATTCTTGTGAAATAGATGTGAGTTCCTAAGATTTATTCACTCATCAGTTTAAAGATCTTGATAACCCATGTTCCTGATAACTAGGTCAAAGGCAGTCTTGTTCTACAGGTGATTAATAACAAACAAATGTTTATTAACTATTAGATGCTGCATTCAGTTCCTACCAGGAGCTTTTCGAATACTTGGAGAATCAAGAATAACATGTCCCAAAGTACAAGATAATAGATGGTTAAGTGCTTAATGACGTTATCCTTGATGTGCCTCTCTGTATACTCTTGAATATCTCATCTCTCATGACTTTAAGTAGTAACTACATGGAACAGTATTTCTCAGTCTCAAGAATGTAGGAATAAACTGGTGCAAAGATGTCTCACGTTCCCTTATTATGGAAGGAAAATATTTTTATAATAACTTTACCAACCTAAAAATAGGCAGAAATAGTTTTGTCTCATAATTTAAAGAACTGTAAGAAACAAATTTACAAGTTAAATACAGAAAAGCTATACAGTCAACAGGATTTTAATTAAATTAGTGACTGTTTTATTGAAGCAAAAACCACAACTGAAGCCCTAACCAGCCGAGGCTCGGGCTCCTGGTACTCTTTAGGGCTTTCTTAGCAGGAGTCATGTGATGACAACTCAACTCTTGATACTGTATTTAAACTACTGTGAAGCTATTTTATATATACATGCTATGGATTTTGGATCCCCCCCCCCCACCCCGGCTATTTCACCTGTGGAATTATAAAAACAAATTGTGTATATATTAACTCTGTTTGTTGTATTTTTCCCCTTATTTGGCAATAATCAATGTACAACTATGTATGGTCAATCTGACTGAAATACAGATGAAAAGTAGGGAATATAATTTCAGTGCTACTTGATATAAGGTAGTCATTCAGATGGTCCAATTTTTTGTTGCTTTTTTTCTTTTTTAAGAGAACTCTAGATAGGACAGAGGGGTTGAAGGGGAAAGGTGGGGGCATGGGGTCATTAATGATGGTGGAATGGGATGATCAATAGTATTCAAAGTACAGGTATCAAAACATGAACACATACAACCAGAGATATGAAAAATTGTGCTCCATATGTGTAATAAGAATTTTATTGCATTCCGCTGTCATATGTAAATTAAAAAAACAGAGAAAGATTACGTTTTTTCCCATAGAAGTCAAGGACTCCTGCTTGTTAAATGCAATAGCTCATCGGTGAGTTTTCTTGACTTTGATATTAATTGCAGGGACTATCAGTATAATTGTGATAAATTATAGTACAGACTATAATGAAAATGAAAGCAATGTTGCACTGGTTTTTTTAAAGATCATCATCAATATGAAAATGTGAAATTCTCATTAAAATGTATACAAGTCTTCAGTAAAAATTCAGGGCATCTGTGGTGGACACAGCTGTGCCTTCCAGACCTCCCCTAAGAAGGAAGCTTGTGGTGCCCCAGCTATCAGCAGAAGCTAATCTCCTGCTCTCACTTCCTGTCCAGTGCTCAGCTGCAGAGAGCTGCCTAGCCCAAGGGCTCTTCCTTCCCCAGGTGTCCATTTGCATTCCCACTGATGGAGGCAGCAGTACTATGGCTATTTACTCTGAACTGAGAGAACTCTGATGGGTCCTATGTGCTCCAGATTTTCCGTGAACTCGAAGGAGGCTTCGCCAGCTTGCATTGCAGTTCTGTTTTTCCTTTCCAATCCTGTTTCTCCCTCCCTCTCACTAGTTATGATTCCTGGTCAATACCCTGCAGGAGAAACCCTATTTCAGCATCTACTTCCAAAGGACCTAGTCAGTAAGAGCTTCCAACATATCTCTGAGGAGAGAGATGATACCTCTTGTGTAGCTCTGATTCTTACTGCAGCTTCTAGTCATGCAGTTCAGCTTCTCATTGTATCTTCCTGCCAGCACTGCAAATTCAAGAGTTCCAAATTTGATGCACAAATAGTCTTTAAGGCTCATGCTTCAGAACAATACATGTGTGTGTTCTGTTTTTATAATAATGTGAACATCATAGTCCCACAACATCAAAAATTGGGAGGTGATTTTGCTTCCTCACACACCTGGGTCTGCACATCAGATCTATTATTCAAGCTTCTTAACAGTGGGAGCATTTTACTCCAGGGATCCACTTTTCCCTAAACAAGAGATGCTACTAAAGTTATAATAGCTTCTGTTTGTTCTTCAGATAATCATTCTTTTTAATTGTTTAGCTTCCCACTTGCTTCGATTCTATATACTTTAAAGACTTTTTTTTTCTCTGTCCTGAAGGACACATACACAAAAATCCAACTCATAATCACCTACATATTTTGGAGCACAGTATCTTGGCTCACATGATAAGTAAAAAGAGTAATGCTTTGATGAGATTGCAGCAAACATTAAAGGCTTCACTTTTCTTTCCTCAATTAACATCAGTGTACTGAGGTCAGAAGAATGAAGCATTTGTTCTAATTTACAGTAAAATATATTCAGTTTTCTTTATCTTTTACATTGCACTGAAGAATAAACAAACACAAGTCTTGATAAATGCCCAAATGATCATTTTATCATATAAATAGAGACAAATGTGAATATTATTAAGTGGTTTAGAAGTCTATGAAAACAAGCATATTTTTAAAGCTGTCAACTCATTGAAAGAAGCTGATGTTTAAAATGGAAAGTTGGGTTGTCAGTTGAAAATGAGAATCTGAGATGTTTGTGAAGGAGACATTGTCAGGAAAGCAGTAGAACATCTCCTGCCCATGGGTACAGTCCTGAGGATTTGTGATAGCCATGATGAATCCAAAAATCATGACCACAGCACCAATGGGAAGCATGACACAGGACACAATCTTATCTGAGTGTGTCCTTGGTTCTTCTGACAGTTTCAGATAACATGCTGAGGGGATGATAAAAATCAGAGGAGCTGCACAGAGCACACCCTGTGAGTTGAAAACAAGAAACAAGATAATGTTACTAGATGGAAACATTCTTTGGACAATTTTTAAAAACATTTTCAAAATGTATTTTTCATTGCACCTGTTGAATCAAGCAAAGGAAAGAAAAATAATTCAAAGAAAGACTCAGAAATAGGTTTTTCCTTTTCCAAAGAAATATTTACAAATGAAAAAGATAATATATAATAGTACATCAGACTTAAGACCAGATGATCAGAAAATAATATAGAAAATGAAACGTAATAAGACCGACTTCTAGTAAATCTGCAGTCTCCCTTTATTTCAGTCACGTCCTGTGTCCTTATATTCTTCATTTATGGTATCCACTATGCCTTTCAAACCTGAGTGGTCTGTTTGTCATTTGTGTACAAATGGGGACTTTGAAAAATTGTATGGGCATATTGTCTTCCTCTAAATCTGTGCTTATATGAAAGTAGTGCCTGTCTGTGTTGAGAAAGGAAAACTATAACCACAGGGCATTTAACATGGAAGAACATTTCTAAATCCTCTTTCAAGCAAAATGAAATGCATTAATTACCCTAGAAAATTGACAGTAGAACTAAATGACTATAACTTTCCCCTACATTAGCTATAGATAAATTTAACCTAAGGCATAATGTCAGATTGAAAATAATAGGTAACAGAGTTATAGAAATACCAAATTATAGCAGGGTATGGTGGTGCATGCCTGTAATAACAATAGCTTGGGAATCTGAGGCAGGAGGATTGAGAGTTCAAAGCTAGTCTCAGCAAACGAGACACACTAAGAAACTCAGTGAGACCCTGTCTTTAAATAAAATACAAAATAGGGCTGGGGATGTGGCTCAATGGTCCAGTGCCCCTGAGTTCCATCCCTGGTAACCCCATCCCCAAAATACCAAGTCATTGACTTCAAAGGAAAGGAGACTTCTCCCTGAATAGTCCTAAACCTCACTAGACACTTTGCAAATGATGTAAATGTTGAAATTCAATTCATTTTTGGTAATATATTTTTTCTAATTATTCCATTTTAATGACATCATATATTAAATAGAACATAAAATTAATAAAATATATTAAAATATGGTGAATTTTATTCTCAACCCACAAAATAAAAGTTTTCCTTTAAATTATGTGGGATTTTTTTGTGTTTACATTTTAGATTTATCCATAACAAAGTGTTATGGATACATATGGATAGTGAAATGATTATCATAGTAATGCAAAGTTCATGACTTTTATTTTACATAATCACTTTTTTGCATATGTGAAAACAACAGCTAAAATATACTTAACAAGCATCCCATATGCCATATAATTTTATTAACTGTAGTTCTTATGTTCTACATTAGATCTCTAGACTTGTTCATCCTATCTACTATTTTGTGTCATTTAAGCTTTATCTCATTTCCTCCCTACTCTCTGTCCCTGGGTAATCACACTTTTATTCTCTGTATATGTATATTTGACCTTTTAAAATTTTTTCATATATAAATGAGATCATGTAATATTTTTCTTTCTGTGTCTGGCTTGCTCACTTAGCCTAATATCCATTAATGTCATGGCAAATGGCAGGATTTCCTTCTTTTAAAAGGCAGAATGACATTCCATTGTGTATATATTCCACATTTTCCTTATCCATTTATCCCCTGAAGGGCATTTAGGTTGTTTCATCATGGCTTTTATGAATAATGCTACAATTGACATGGGAATATGGAAGTACAGATATCTTTATGAGATGGTGATTTTACTTCCTTTGGCTATAAACCCAGAATAGAAATTGCTGGCTCAAATGGTAGTTCTGTTTTTGATTTCTTTAGGAACCTCCATAATGCTTTTGATAGTAACTGTACCAATCTACATTCTAACCAACAACATACCAGGACTCCCTTTTCTTCACAGCCTTGCCAATATTTATTGGTAGAATGCCAGATTGAAAATAATGGGTAGTAGAGTTATAGAAGTACCAAGTTATTAGCCAGGTGCAGTGATGCACACCTGTAATCCCAGCAGCTCAGGAGGCTGAGGCGGGAGGATCTAGAGTTCAAAGCCAGCCTCAGCAAAAAAGAACTACTAAGAAACTTTATTTTAATTTATTTTATAATATTCATTCTAGTAGCTCTGGGGTGATATTGCACAATGATTTTAATTTGTATTTTCCTGAAGATTAGTGATATTGAATACCTTTTATTATTGGTCATTTTTATATCTTTGGAGAAAGATATATTTAGGCCATATGTCCATTATTTAATATTTCTGTTATTTTTATATTTTCTGCTACAGAGTTGTAAGAATTATTTAAAATTTTTGTATATCAACCCCTTATTATAATACTTTTTCCCCTAGTGGCTAGGTTGCTTTTTCATTTTGTTGACTGTTTCCATTGCTGTGTAGAGGTTTTTAGTTTTCTGTAGTTCTATTTATATGTTTTTTTTTTTTTGTCATTGTAGCCTGAGTTTTTGCTGTGATATCTAAAAGTAATTGACAAAACCAATGTCAAAGAGTTTTATCCCATGTTCTTTTAGGAATTTTATGGTTTCAGATCTTACAGTTGTCTTTTAAGCCTTTCCAGTTGACTTTTGTATTTGATAAGGGTCCAATTTCATTCTTTTGAATGTGGAAATATATTTTCCCAGCACTATTTATTCAGGAATTATCCTTTCCCTATCATGATGACCTTGTCAAATACTGATTTAACTATATGCTTGGATTCTGTTCTGTTCAATTAATATGTTTCTATTTTTATCCCAGTGCCATACTATAGCTTTGCAATATCTTTTAAAATCAGGAAATGTCATTCCTCTTTGTTTTCCTTCTTTAATTGCTTTAGTTTACTTAGGCTTTTTCTGTGACTCCATATAGGTTTTAGATTTTTTTCCTATCTATGCATTACTCCATTTGAATTTTGATAGAGGTTGTATTGAATCTATACATTTGCTTTGGAATATACACATTTTCACAATAGTAATTTTTCCAATTCATCATTACAGAATATCCTTCTATTTATTTGAACCTCCTTAAATTCCTTTCAACAGTATTTTATCTCCTTGGTTAAATTTACTCTAAATTGTTATTTGTGTAAAGAAATGTTCCTGACTTTTGTATGTTGACTTGGATTCTTCAGCTTTACCAAATTTATTTATTATTTCTAGAATTTTTTTGAAACCTGGCACAATTGCACAATTGTGTCATCTGCAACTATAGTTTTACTTCCTCCATCCTGATTCAGATGTCTTCTATGTCTTTTTCTTTTCTGATTGCTCTTTCTAGTATTTCCTTTAGTACGTTGAATAGAAGTGCTAAAAGTGGGCATCTCTCACTTGTACTGGATCTTAGTGGAAACACTTATGGTTATTTCCCATTGATTATGATCTTAACTGCGAGTTTTTTATAACTGTTCTTTATTACATGGAGAAACTTTCCTTCTATATTTAAACTGTTAAAAATTTTTGTCACAAAAGGCTGCTGAAGACTTTATCAAATGCTTTTACTCTGTCAATAGAGATGATCATGTGGTTATTAGCTTTCATTTTGTTAATGTGAAATAGAACATGTTATTGTCTTAAAGATAAAAAAGTGTTAAAATACATAATCAATAACTAAAAATGCAATATTGATTCATAATTAAATATAAAATTTCTTTAAAGTGTTTTTCTATATTTTAAAAGGTCATTGTGTAAATTTGTAAGTATATATAAGCATAATATAATGAAACTCTATGTATCTATAACCTATGTTTTATGAGCTTTTTGGAAAACTATATTCACAGATTTTTCCCAGATTCAACCAAAGCAAACTGAATTTGAAGTTGGATGATGAAGAATAACAAATTATATTAAAAAAAAACTTTACCTATTTTCTCAATGTCACCACTTAATCAAATTACTGTGTGTTCCACATTAAGCACCAATTATATTATTATAGGTGAAATATTATTACTATGATTTCAATAATACACCTCTTTTTGTTTTTTACAAAACCAAAAAAGAAATCTAAATTGTCAATTACATGTTTCACATTATCAAATCAGACTAGTTAGGGAGTATCTAAAGGTCTGTGGAAGAATAGTAGTGACCACACTGCATGGAAAATATTTCACCAGTAAGAGAAACACAAGAATGAGGAATGAGTAAGATAAAACAATATTACATTCCAATTTAAAATATGTAGACAAAGTACTTTTGCAATTTATAGTGCCTGAATACAAAAGAATACCCATAAAGGTACACAAGAAACAAAAGATTAGCTGTCTTATGTCTAGAATTAAAGAAATGCTAGGCAAGAACTCTACCACCAAGCTGCCTCCCCAGCGTCACAGTGCTTTTCTAAGTTATAGAAAATATTATAGAACTCAATCTGTGCTTATACTCTATGATTTCTTTGAAGGAAGAATTTCTGAAACAAAGTAATTCAAATTCGTGTATATACTGGTTTGTATATGTAGTCTCTTCTCAATGTAGGAACAGATCTGGAGCTGCAGAGTCTGAAGGTATCATCAGGATGACAACTGCTGTCAGCTGCTATGGAAAGGCTGCTGTCAGCCCTTGAAATCTTTCAAACCTAACTCCCTGGGCAGGGCAAAGAAAGGGGTGTTCTGTTTATGCTGTAATTCATAAGAGGTGAGAAAGTAACAATTACAGAGAAAATTACATTGATGATGTTTGTACTGGAAGAAGCCCAGTTGATTATCACGTCTTGAATACCAGTTACTTTCTGGTAACTTGAAAGTTCAGTTTTGCGAGAGGTTGTTGCTGGAATTCAAGATCATCAGTAAAATGATAGTGCATTTCTATCTGCTCTATTTTCCATAAATTAGTCCAACTTATTTCCTTCCTTTAGTGTAGACCTGTTTGAGGATACATTACTGGCTTTGGAATGATTTTTAAAATTGCTTGACAGTTTGTAAAATCAGAGCTACTTATTAAAGAGAGAGTAAAACATGCTTTTATTTATAAAGACAGAACAGTGCTATCCACTGGTAATAGTACAACTGATGCCAGGACATTTTACCATTTGCAACAGGGAAACAACAGAAAGTGTTGAAGAATTTTACCAACTATATGGATGGGAAAAGTGTCTGAATTCTCTTTTCTGAACAAAAACCTCTCAAATTGTGCAGGGAAGGTAAAAAAAAAATAAAATAATACTTATTAATCTTTTAAATTTCTATTTTTAACCAGTTCAGACACATGAAATTTATTTCTATACCTTAAAAAACAAAAACTGTCTTTAGCTCAGGATCTGTCAACTTGGACTATGTCTTGCTCACTCTGATGACTGTATTTCTGTATCTGGGTTCTCACTGGGTATTTAACTTGCTTTATTACTTCCATGCAAGCTTCACACAATGCCTGTTGAACTGGTTACTCTGGCCACAGGCACCAGCTGTTTCATTTTTTTTCCCTCTCTTTGTGCTGCTGCAAGTAGAAACCCATAGGGCCCAATTACTGTACATGCCTCTTTTCTATAATAGCAATGTCAGTGCCAAAATGCTGGATTCTTATTACCAAGAATGAGATTTACATTCATTTTATTTGCTTTTAAAATTAATCCTTTAAAAGTGAGGGTACATTTGCTTTGGAAAAATATTTCATTGTCTACTGCCATGAAAATGATGAATTAAACATAAAACTCTAAATGAGGTTTAATTTTATTGAATAAGTAATATAACCCCAAATAATTTATCCTTTGATGTTAAACTTTACTAAATAACATTTCCCTAATTTCCCAAGATCTTATTCCAATATGTATCACATCTATGAAGGTCATCGTTCTACTTAGTGATAATTGAGAAGCCATAATAGAAAAGAATTCCTCAAGTACTACAATTATTAATGAAGATGACAAGGACCTGAGTTCAGTCTCCAACAGCCCCCACCCCAAATTATAAATTAAAATGAAAGCTATTAACTATAATTTAAGATTAAAAAGTTTTAGTTTTATTTTAATCCATTTCCTGATATTTTAAACCATTATTAAAGTCAATTCATATGTATTATGAATCACTCTGAATCTTATTTGCAAACGAACTCAATGCATAGATTTTTAATTATAAAATGGGTAAAAAAGCAGAATTATTTGACATAATTTAATGCCTGACATGTAGAAAATCTCAGATAAATGCAATGATTAAATGTATGGGCTAGAGAGGATCCAAATACCTGTGTTCAAATCTTGATTCTTCTACTTAGCTTGTATGGCCTCAGATTGATTATTAATCACTGGGCCTCAATTTCTGCATCTTTAAAGTTAACATGATCAAGGAAGATAATGCATGCAAAGTACTTAGCCCAGCATATGCACATGTTAGCTCATATTATCCCTATGCAGTAGAACACAGTATGCTTTAGTTAACTCCTCACATCTTGCATGTTCCAGCATGTATTAGTTACTGACAGAAATGATGCTAAATTTGGCTTGATTACTCATTGTCAGTGTCCACACAAAAGGGAGGTGGGGAAAGAGCAGAAGATGTTATTGTGCATACCAAAAACTTTTATTGATGGACAAAACACATATTTTCAGATGGTCTACAGAGAATGGAGATTCTAGATTTTACTAATTTCTGCAAAATGCTTTTAAAACAGGTGTCATTGTCTTGGGTTATTAGGTTATAGACAACAATATAACACTTTCCTATAATTCTTTTGTGTGTATCTCTCTATATAGGTTAAAAAAATCTAAGAATCTAGATTTATGTTTTAATTTTTTAAAGTAGTCTTCCACAGAAGCTCAGATTTTGACTTTTTAATATTTACAAGGTATTCTCTGACTATAATAACCAGGACCTATCTTAATCACAAATGTTTTTAATATAAGTACAATAGTGAATATTTAGTGTTAATGTGCTAAGGGTTTTGTTGCGCATGTGTCATGAAAATTAACAATTAAGTCTATGTAAAGCAATGGTTAAATTTACAAAAATATATCATTTCCCAAAAATGAGCCATATGTATGTGCTTGGCTAACTAGAGACAAACAAAACATTTCTTAGTTTACCAAGATGTGGTTGCCTGTTTAGGCAGCTGATAGATCTATTTTTCCTCATAACAAAATTCTACAACATTAAAAAACAAAACTTGTGAATTCAAATGAGACGTTTCATAAAACAGGAGAAAACAGAGTGGGGGATCATGTTGGTCGTATCTACAGCATAGTTGAAAGATCACTACTACTATTAACACCAACACTTTTTGTCATACTTTATTTCCTGGTACTACACTGAACAATGTCATATGTGGGAACATGGAAATAAGTCCTGATCTTTGGTCTCAAGGGGCAATCACCCATGCAGGAATTTGAACACACTGTTTTTATCCTTATTCCAAGTATCATGGAAAATGAAGAAGGTGGCTACACATTGTCTTCAAAGAGCTTACAATTTGGTAGGGAAGACAAATTTACAGATGGTTCAAATAGCACATGATATGAGATAATATACAAATGAAGTTACTTCATTAAAGTTACTGCATCAAGGTTGCTACATGAAATAATCTTTAGTGGACCTACTAGCCCTGTCCGATGCAAAATTAGGAAGCAGGTTAAAGTTGCCTTTGGCATTTGTCCACCTCCTGGTTGGTTGGTTGGTTGTTCTCAAGATGGGGTCTCACCATGTTGCCCAGGCTATCTTTGAGTTCCTGGGCTTAGGCAGTATTCCTCACTCAGTTTACCAAATAACTGGGACTTCAGGCACACCTCACTGTGTGCTGATGGGCTTTGTTTTTCACCACCAGTGAAAGGGCAATTTCCTAGTGCCAAGGTTTTGAAAAGCTGCATATTCTCCACTTTCCATTTACTCTGTTCCCAGAAAATTCCCAGAAGTGTGTTCTCAACAGAATCTCCTATGGCCTTTTCTGGGAACTTCAAATCATAATGGCATCTGGAGGGAATAGTGTCTTGGGCACTAACAATAATACTTTCTCCAAGCCCTAACTCTTAACGTAATGTGTGAATGATAACTTGGGATCCTACCTATGAAATTCTGCCCTCCCATGGTGCATAACCTAATAAATCCTAAATGGTGTGATTTCGTTTAGAAATCTGTGCTGCTTCTACTTAGAAATTAGAACCAAGGAGTCATGCATAATGTGCCCTTCTATTCCTCTGTCCTTCTAATTAAACCTGTCACCAAATTATGACATATTTTCCTCAAAAATGTCTTTAGATATCCTATCTACTTCTCTATCATCTTCATCACCTACATAGCAGTTGAACTTTTATGTTTGTGAGAAAGCAAGGATCCCTTCTGATTTCCTTCCATCACTCCTGTTTTGTGGCACAAAAGAAGTGAACAATAAATATGTGATCTATGAGTACATATGTTATTATTTGCACTCGATTGTGAAGTCTTTGTGATATATTGACAGAAATGAAAGGAAACTGGTCATTTTAGGAAAAGGAAACAGATAAGACAAAGGACAAAAGAAAGAACTGATTTGGAATATATATATATATATATATATATATATATATATATGCCATAAAAAGAAGGTTGGCTGGTACTGAGGGTAGATTTTACTAAGTAAAGGGGAAATAGCTTTTCATAAAAGCAAATATAAACTCTGTTTATATTTGCTCTGGGAGGAAAGTGGAGATATTTGGGGCAGGATGATAATAAACTGAAAGTAGAACTTTAATATGTTCTAGTGGAAGCAAAAAAAAAAAAGGATCAATTTAGATGTAGTTGTGATGAAGATCTAGATTTGAATGGTGGCAGTAAATGCTACAAAAGAAAGATCTGGGTAGCAGAATACAACAGTCACTAATATGCCATTATGTAAAAATGTGAGTATGTAACAGAAGTGAGACTGTATTATGTATTTGGGGAGTTCAAAACCCAATTGAGTCGAATGTATGAAAGATGATATGTCTTGAGCTCTGTAATGTTTTGAACAATCAATAAAAAAAAAAAAGAAAGATCTGGAGAGAGAAAAATATTAAAAGAAAAAGAAATTTGGCCTGGATAAGTGATTATACAATATAGATATAACTCTCTTCCTTTTATATTTTCAATGAATTTCACTAGGTATATATTTTTACCCAGAAAAAATATTCCAGGTCCATTTAATTAATATTTTTTTGTTTAAGAAATGTCTATATATCATACAACCATGACCTTGCACTCTTGATGTTTTCAATTAGTTGATACTTTGTTGTGAGGGGCTGTGCTGTGCACTGTGGGATCTTGGTAGTACCCCTCACCTTCTCACTAGATGCCAACAGCACTGCCCACCTAGTTAATAGTATACCTCTAGATATTGGTGGGGAGATCAAAGTTAACCTCTATTTGAGACCCACTGTTTCAAAACTATATAGTCCTATGTAAGTGCAGAGTATCATTGTTATAAATATTTACTATTATATTACAAACATGTTTTCATTCTAATTCAGAAAGTGACAATTCTCTTAGGAAAATACATCTTACATTAAATAGAAACAGTTTCACCCACCCCCATAACTGAGTACTTTACCACTGAGCTACATCCCCAACATTTTTTCCTTTTTTATTTTGATACAGCGTCTCCTCTCAGTCACCCAGGCTGGCCATCAAGTTGTGTCCCTCCTGACTCAGTCTTCATAGTAGCTGGATCAGAGGTAAGTGCCTCCTCCCCCAGCAGAACCATTATTTTAAAAGAGTTTTAGGGGGCTGGGATTGTGGCTCAGCAGTAGAGCGCTCGCCTAGCACGGGCAGGACCTGGGTTCTATCCTCAGCACCACATAAAAAAAAAAAAAAAAAAAAAAGGCCTTGTGTTGTGTCCATCTACACCTAAAAAATAAATATTAAAAAAAGGGAGGTTTAGGATGGAAGAAGTAGATCTTTAAATGTACTTACATTGAGTTCTAAAACTATTCCAAGGCAATCAATCAGCAATGAAACCAATGTGGCTATCATAATTATAACCACTGTTATAAGCACATGGAAAAATGATGAAAGAGTCCCTCCAAAAAACACGTTGGCAATGACCTGCCAAATAAATAGATTATTTTGAGAGGTAGTCTTCAGACATGCAAGATTTATTGAAAGAGTATTTTGTAATAGCATGTAGGAGTATATACAATATTGTCAATAAGACAATCAAATTCTGTATGAATGTTTTATATTTCCAAATTACTTACACACAGACACATAATGCAAGAACAAGTATTTTTTTATGGTGCTATTAGTCAGTCAGTTGATTATATTACAGATGCAAAGCATGACACAGCAGGGTTTAAATACATGCATCTCTCAAGAATAAGCAAACCCTTAGGAAGTTACCTTATCCTTCTTCTTGAGCCTAACAAGGTTACTACTAAAACAAACTGCAGATGCTATTTAGATTACTTGAATGGCCTCTGAGGAAAGCATTACCACATTTCCTTTTAATGATGCTGGATGTGTAATATCCTTTACTAAGAGGAAATTGATTCTACATAAATGAAATCCTAATTGTTACAATTTAAGTCCATGATATATTGCTTTTCCTCAACAAAAATATAGAGAAGAGTTTATCACTATTTCTTAGTAATACTCAGATCAGGAAACCAATTGACAGTCTCCTATGTAATATATCCCACATTGTGGTATAATTTACAAAGAGAAGATGTCTAGGAGATTCTTCCTTTCTCTGGAATTAACATCCTAACTAGAAATTGACAACCCATCTAAAGAAATGAATGTATACAGGAGGCTGAGGCAGGAGGATTGTGAATTCAAAGACAGCCTTAGCAAAAGCGAGGTGCTAAGCAACTCAGTGAGACACTGTCTCTAAATAAACTATAAATTAGGGCTGGGGATGTGGCTCAGTGTTCGAGTGTCCCTGAGTTCAATCCCCAGTACCAAAATAAATAAATAAACAAACAAACAAATTTATCAATTTGTGATGGTACAAAAAATATCAAATAGCTTTTAGAACTAGAAAGAGCTTCAATCATCCAGATCTATCTCCCTTCAAGTAATCTTCTTTACAGCATTCCTGAAAAGTTCTGGACTCACCTTGGTTTGAGATAGGGATTGAAACATGGATAAAATTTGAAGCTGAATTGCCGACTGAGTCAATAGCATGCAAAAGAGCAAAGAGGTGAGAGTAGGAACAAACCTATGGAGGGAGACAGGAGACTGAATAGAGGAGTGACTGTGCAGAAGATCAGGGGCAGAGACGGCATGGTAGGAGAGGGTCAGATGCTTAATATGGTAAAGAAGCAGACTCCAAGTTGTGTTATCTTAGTAGGTAACATTCCCCAGAGGCCAGATGCTGCCGTGGCTCTGCTAGAGTTGAACTAATAACTCTAACTGATTATAATTTGAACAGTCTTCCAAATATTATCTTATTTAAAATCTATTATTATCAAAACTTCTAGTATAGGACTGTGAGAATGAAAAAAATCTGGGCAGGCTAGTGAGGGATATTTATTAGGGACACACAGCCTTTTTGTTCCTTTTATATGTGGTTGGATATCTTACCCATGATTTGAGATGGTTTCATTATATTAGCTCTGTGTGTGTGTTTATGTGTATAGAAAGAAGTGAACGGGTGAGGTGTATATGACATTCCTCTGCCTAATATTTGCTACGATGGCAAAGATCTTGATTTAGTTCTGTCTTCCTGTCATGGCAGCTAGAAAGGAAATTCAGGGCCAAGTACTGAAGACAGAGGCTGCCCAGGTGAAGTGACTCAGACGGTCCACACACAGTTTACCAGAAACCGCATGGGAATGCACCATCTGTTCTTTCTGATCTAGAGATCAAGTCTGAACCTCAAGTCCTGGGCAGATGCTGCAAGAAGATCATTTCCTGCATCTAATAATAGTTAGAAAATTTCTAAAAGGCTCTTACATTTTAAAAACCTGCATAAAGCATCAGTGTATTTGACTTCTCCCTCTAGTCAAGGTAGAAAACGGCCTGTGAATGCCACATTAGCAAGGGAGCAGAAATGCTTGTAGCAGAGGACACCACACAGTGCTACCCTCTTCCCTCTTTCAAGTCCCAGTGCTCGTCCTCACTCAGCACTGCCCACGGGAAGGGAAGCTCCAGGCTGTCCTGAGAGGCTTGCTGATTACTGAGTGCATTTAAGGCTCTGTGGACGTTTCACTTCATACATTAGACCCATTCACATAGTGCACTGTGTAAACAGCCCCCAGGAATAGATCCTAAGACTAAGCCCTTTTCAGTATGACTCCTGAAAGAACCACTGTGCCTCAGGATCATGTTTCACTGCTAACCAGTGCAGTGGGTGTTTAGCTGTCAGCAAAAGGGATTCCTGACAAGCCATGCTATCCCATTTCACACCAAAAGGACTCATTCTCTTTCAGCTAATCTTTCTCCACAAATCCGAGTGGATTATACAACATAATTTGGAAATGAATTTATAAACAAAAAAAAATTGTAGAGAAATAATATACTGTATGTTTACATTATTTATATAATTTTTGTATGTCACATATAAATGTATACATATAAATACATAAATGAAGTCTATATGTAAAATCATAGGTTGATGTTGCATTTTGATTCCCCACAGTGTATAAGACATTTTAGTTTTTTAAAAATAACAAAACCAATTAGAATTCAATGCACATTGATTTACAAAATGTTTTCCCAAAACTACAATTTTGAAAAATGCTTTTTAAACCTTGGTACTTAATTTATTTGTAAGAATACTATTTTTAAAAAACCAATAAGTATGGGCTGGGCATGTGGCTCAAGCAGTAATGCGCCTGCCTGGCATGCGCAGGGCGCTGGGTTCGATCTTCGGCAGCACATAAAAATAAAATAAACATGTTGTATTCACCGAAAACCAAAAAATAAATATTAAAAAATTCTCTCTCTCTCTCTCTCTCTCTCTCTCTCTTAAAAAAAAAAAAAGCCAATAAGTAAGCCAGGTGAAATGGTGCAAACCAATAATCCCAGCTATTCCAGAAGGCTGAGACAGGAGGATCCCAAGTTGGAGGCCAGCCTTAGCAATTTACTGACATGACACCCTGTCTCAAAATATCAAGGGTTAGGGATGTACCTCAGAGATAGTGTACCCTTGGTTCTACACATGGTATTGGGGAAAAAAGAAAAAAGAAAAAAGCCAACAGCTTCAGTTTAACTATACTAAAGGCTGGCATTCACTTTGAGATGCATTTGTATAAATATTTGTGCTTATGCTTATAAATATAATTTTCACTTCTAACTTTTGAAAAATTAATCTTATATTCTAATATTCTAAATTGAGAAAGAAAATTTTATAAATTACATCATAGTCGTGTCCTTGAGAATTTTCAGAATAAAATTATTTATAAATCTTCCTAAGTTAAGTGTTGTAGAGAGAGAACCTGGATAAAGTAATAAAGAAGAATCATGCTTACCTCTCTAGTTACAAAGCATTCGATTGGGTATGTCAAAATGACAGTTATGCCATAGCAAAACCTTCCAAAGGTTACCAGGTCATCACTTCTGCAATAATTTTCAAATAAGTCCCCTAGAGAATAATATAAAATAATTTATTTATTAGATACTAGATTTTTGAGGTACATAACAAATGAGATATTTATTATTATAAGTCAAGCTCTATAATCTTCATTTTATTTAATTAAAGGAATAGATTACCAGGTCTAAATGTGTTTGCATTCAGTACCATATAGCTATTTATTGATATTAAAATCAATACGTGTCTCATTTGATGAGAAATGCAACAGGAATAGTTTTTTTTTTTATTATTCCTATTATTTGTTTTTGGTGTATTTGCCTCAAGTTTGAATCAAATTCTAAAAAACACTTTTATCCATTGTCTTCTTACATTAGAATCAACTCCCTAAATTCTTGTTCACTGGCTTTGTAAATTTGTTTCTGGCCTTTGTTTGTGGTAAGTGACTGAATTACATATATATAAAAAATCTATTAAAATAAACAAATTTCCCTTTGAAGTGCTATTCTTAGATCAAGGACAAATCTGAAAGGAAGAGTAGTCCAGTACATCTGGGGAGTTGAGTTTCCTGCACACGATGCTGTAGGGGTTAATCACAGTCTTGGGACCACACCAAGGAATTCTAAACATATTGTCTTTTATGTCATCCAATGTGCCTGAGTGTAAATGCACTGTTTCAAAACTGAAAATATGGCTGCCTCCCAGAAAGAACATTAAATTTAGTTCCAGACTAAATAATGAACTATATACCTTGAACCAGTTCTTTAGATCCCATATGTTTGCAGAAATTGATGAAGAAATACAGGAATCTAATTAGGACAGAGAAGTCATCAGGCAGAAACACTCAGTCGTGTTTATTTCCTGAATAACATGTTTATTTCCCAAATAGCATGCATTTGGATCCATTTATTTCCCAAGTAGGGTGCTTAAATTTGAAAACTGCAGTTGCCTTTTTTTCAAGAGCGCTGAGTACAAAACTACATCAAAGTCACATATCTCACTACTGTTTAAAAAGAAAACAAAATAATGCCTTTGTACTCTTTTCATTAAAAAGCTAAATACCCTAAATGAACTGCCTCTTGATCCATTTAAGTGACCCCCTCAACTCCCCCATTAAGTAAAACAAACATACATTCCTTTCTAATGTCCTTTTTTGGGCAGAATGAGTTTGTACCACAAAGCAGCAGTGACAGGGAACTGTCTGAAAATTGATTGAAAAGGCTCCAGATTCTCTGAAAATAAAAAGAGTGAAATTCCCCATTCACTAGCCTTCACTAATAAATGGGCCCTGCGCCTTATCAAAAGTCAATGAGAATGTCAGCAATAATCTAGAGTTCCTACTGCCTCACAAGCTGGACTTTATCTACTCATCAAGGGGAGCAAAGCAGCACACAGTTTGTACAAACAAGACCAGATTTGCCTAAGGAGAAATGACCTGAAGGACCAGGGTCAGTTTATTCCAGTTTGAAATGAAATATATTTTAGGGAATTAGAGCCAGGGGAAAAATAAGGACAACAACCACCACATCAAACACCTGTCAGCTTTGTGATAGAAAGATTTAATTATACTAATTACCACTTATTAAAACACACACACACACACACACACACACACACACACACACACACACACACCAGGAAGGTGTGACTAGCAAAAAAAGGTTTATGTTTTACTGAAGAGGCATTTAAAACCCAAGGTCCCACACAGACCAGAACCCTTAGGCCATTCATCTTGACAAACTGTGTAGCAATAGTGACACATGCCAATGTTTCGAAATAGTTTTTATCAAGACCTTCAAGGTCCCTTTTAACTGCTCTTTACTGGCACACACAGGTATTATATTTTGGCTGCATTGGTATCATGTTATTCATTATTTATTAAGCCATCTTTCTTCATTTTCTGAGAAATATCTGTGTACAATCACAGTGACCTGTAACCTCTGTTAAAAAAAAAAAAAAAAAAAAAAGGCAGCCATTCTCCCAAGAACATTCTAGTGTCACAGAAAACTGAGCCCAGAGGAGCTGGAGGTAAGAGACAGCTTTTAGTGGGTCATGGTAGACCAAAATGGAGGAGGCAGGAAGAGAATGGAAAGAAAATGGGACCTGGATGTCAGAAGACTTTTTCTCTAATTTGTCACAAACCAGCATAGGCAAGCTACTGCAACTCTTTGTGTCTTAAAAGGAGGTAAAACTAGTTATTCCACTTAACCTTCCAAGGGTTGTTTGAAGGTCAAGTGAGACACCAGACCTGCAAAAGCTGTGAAATACATGAATCACAGCCTTGGCCTGCTGTCAGACTACCCTTCCTATTGCACTCATAGGAGTGTAATGAATGAATGAAAAGGTCAAGGGCCCTTTAAAAAAGGATGATTCAGTTGTTGTGCCTGGGTGAAAACAAGAAAAGAGAAGTAACTTTGGAAGGAGGAAGGGAAAGGACTGCTTTTATGGAAAAGATGATGTTTTGTAATTAAGAGGAGAATGGAACAATTCAATAAAAATACCCTACAGGCTGGGAAAGAAAAAGAAAAAAGTCTGGATAAGAAAAGTCTGGATTAGAATTAAAATGATGCAAACATCTAGAGAATTTGTTAACAGAGAAGCAGGCAACTTGCCTAAACTAATCACCCAGGTGACATAGGGGATGAGAGAGGTCAAATTAAAAAAAAAAAAAAAAAGGAAAAATCAACAGAAAGAATAACAATGAGAGTACAGTAGGAAGAAATTTGAGCAAAGAAAGGATGTTCAGTGCTGTCAGGTGATTCAGAAAGAGACAGGAGACACAGAACCCAGAAGATTATCAGCTTTGAGCACGAGGAGGCCTTTGGTAGTTGAGTTTGAAGATGCATTAGAGTAAGGGGAGGACCTGAACCTGGGTTCGTGAGCCTGGAGTGAGGATGGAAGGAGAGATTACGGACCACAGAACTAAGATTAACAGTTTAGAGGGGAAATCTGAGGAAACAGCAGAGAGACAGGAGGGTAGAGCAAAGAATGGGTGGAAGAGTGATTATTTCAAAAATAACAATGGACAAATTTGTACTAAAAATTGAGTAGAACATTGGGTGTATTGGTACCAATCCACATGAGCACCAAAATACCATGGAACTGAATCTCTCATTTTACCTTGGGTAAAGCCAGTGAAAGTCAAGTATCCACACGTAGCAAAGAGCACACAGATAAATACAGAAACCAAGATGGACATATGGATGATGCGGGACCATTTTGCTACTGTGGCTTCTTCCAAAGAACCATAGACTAAGAAGCAGTTATGGTGGCAAATAAATGCTGTAACACAAAAAAAGAAAAAAAGGAAGCAAGCATTATTGAAGTAAGCCCAGGGTTTTTTTTTTTTTCATTTATTCTGTAATTTAGAGATGAATACTACTTTAGAATGTCAATCAACTGATGTTCAAAATATTATTTTACTAAGTAAACAAGAAAACAGTTTTTCTAATGAGTCTAGAAATGAGAAACTTCATTCATATCAGGCTTATGTTGTATCTTGTCTTGATATAAACCAGACTATCCAAACTTCTCTCCCACTTTCCTTCTCCTAAGGACCCTTCCCATCTAAAGGAAAATCTAAACAACATCATAATAATCAATGCATGACTTCCTTTGCCATCTGGGACACAGAGTTGCTTTAGATATCCAGCCAATTCTTAGTACATTGTGTGCAAGTTTTGAAGAAGTCCATAACACTTGCTAGAATTCCAAATTAAGAAACAAGATAACTATAAGGGTTTCTGCGTGAGAAATGGATTTCTCCAAATTGAAGCAAATTTTAGTAATGAGTGAGAAAAGTTTGAGCATAAATTAGGTCATACACTGCTAATAGGAAGTTTAAAACTTAGGATGCCAGACGTCCAGGCATATATATCAAATAGATCTTTTTCAGTGAATAGGTGACTCGTTATTGGGAAGGGGCCTTTTGAAGCCATGTACTCACCAAAAGACATGACCCCAACAGCCTGAATGGCATTGGGCTTTGCAAATACCCAAGCATCTTCCATTTTGGGTCTAGAAGAGAACCAGTTAATTTGATAAATTATCTTTAAACATGTCAACATGGATATATCAGAGAGCAAGAAATGGTGTTACAAATAAAAACTGGGGGCCTATAAGCCAAAAATAAAAAGGGGCCCCCATGAATCTTATTTAGTCATAAGTAAATTTCCTGGGATCATCAATACAGTCTCAACCCCAGTCCTTTAAAATGCATTTAGAATACTTGTGCAAATTTTTACATATGTAAAATAGCCACTGGCTATGTAATTTTGTGGATTTGTTTGCTCATCAATTTAACAACAAGCATTTGTTATGTACTCATTGTTGAGACTCTCATTGAGGGAGATATAAAATTAATAACGTCCAATTGCTGCCCTTTATTCTCCTCCTTACTTTTTCAGGCTCCATCTACCCAAGGTATATTTAGCATTGCAGTTGAGGGTTGATGCACATGAACTAATAGTAACTAAGAATGTACTGAGTGTATCCTGGGAACTCAACTGTGTCATCTCATTTAACTTTTACAACAACATTGAGTATTACTCTCATTATTTAACAAATGAGGAAAGTCAATGGCTGGGTGGTGACATAATTTGCCAAGCTCCCACAGATAATAAGTGAAGAAGTTGGGGTTCGTCTTCTTGGTAAACTTTATCCTTATCAAATGTCTCTTCCATGCTGAACTTTCTGCCAGTGGCCTCAAGTTTCCACCTGTGGTTATATTCCTCAAAAGGAGTTTTGGAAATATATACACTTTAAAGAGCTTGAAACAACCTGTATCCTAGCAGAATTAAAATATTTAATATGAGCAGGAATTTGCCTCCCTGATTAGAATCCTCTTGTCCCCAGTCAGCAATGATGAACAGCACAGGCTCTAAGATCAAACAGATGGTCTCTATGTTCATCTGACTTCTTCTATTTATTATCTATGTGACTTCAGGCTAATTACTTGATCTTCCTGTGCTTTGATTTCTACATCTATAAAATGGGGATAACAGTAGACCTAAATCATTGAATTATTGTGCAGATTAGAGAAAATGTGTAAAACTTCCAAAAGAGAGACTACAACATAGCACATGTTAAATAAGTGGTCATTTTTAATCATCATTTTTTGTTAATACCTTTATTATCCTCTATAGTTATTTAAGAAAAGGTAGCGAAAAAGGGCATGCTGGCAGACACCTATAATTCTAGAGACTTGAGAGGCTGAGGTATGAGGATGGCAAGTTGGAGGCTAGCCTGGGTAACTTAGGGAGACCCTGTCTTTTTTTTTTTTTTTTTTTTTAAGGCAGCAAAAAGAATAAAAGTATGGCCAACTTCCCTAGAAAGGAAAAACTTGGATAATACTTAGAATAATGCATGAAGGTAGAAGAGATGGGCACGGGAAGCATACTATAAAAATAAAGGCACTTGGGCTCTAAAATTTAAAAAAGAGAAATTCCAAAGATTAAAATCCACCTTTCCTAATTTTGTTATTCATTCTTTATGTAAATAGGACACAAAATAACCCTGTGTATTTTGCCAAAGTCTGTGGGATTTGTGCGGGATATCACCTTTCTTTCCCCATAGGAAAGGAGCTATGATAGGAAAGGCGGCAGCAAGGGAGGCCCCAAGGGTGCCCTGACCTGCTCTGATTCCACTTGTTGGAGCGGGAGCTGCTGCCACCTGCTGCCCGCACTGCTGCAACTACAGTCAGCATTAGCAATCCCAGCACACCTGTTAAATTCCAAAATTAATGTGGAAAACACACACATTTTGTTTATCATCCTTAAAAAATAATTTAGATGAAGGACAAATAACCGTTAGGGAAATTTGAAGACTGTTTAAATTTCTAGGATGTTATAAATGATATCCTTTTTCATAGGGTTTCTGCTTGTGAAAAATACTCTCTTTTCCCCTTAAAAAAAGATTGTGATAGTGTCCTGCATTTAAAACTTCTATTAAAAACAGAAATGGAAGAGTTTGAGCTTAATTTTCCTCCTTTAATTCAATTTTTTTCAGGTCCTATGGTTTTTTTTTTAAGATATTCCTGGCATGTACAATAATACCTGAAGATGATTTTGGATTTTCTCTGTTAATCTTTTTAACAATATTTTTTAGTTGTCAGTGGACCTTTATTTTATTTTATATGCTAAGAATTGAACCCAGTGCCTCACACATGCTAGGCAAGCGCTCGCTATACCACTGAACCATAACTCCAGCCCCTCTCTGTTCATTTTAATGATGGTAATTTTTAAAGATGGGAAGTGCCAAAGAAGATATTAGAGACAGAAAAAAATGCATGTTGCCCAAATCTAGAGGAAGAGAAGAGATATTGAATGTGACTTTTGAATCATTTATAAAATAGTAAAGGACTGAGTACTAGGGGGAAAAAAAAGCTTCACAGGAAAAAAAATGCACACACACAAATACACACACTTGGATATTTTATGTGATTGTGAAATAATCATAAACTTGTGTGCTATAAAGCAATTGTTAAATGCCACATGTACAAAAAATAAAATATATGGAATAGAATATTTAGGTAAAATAGTAAGTTATAGAAAAATGTAAAAATTATTGCTCAGTAATCATCAATATTTGTTTTGCAAACACATTGACTGGTACTACATGTTGTCAATAATATGTGCCTGTTAAGGGTATAAAAGCATGAACATGAATGAAGTTAACCTTAGCACAAAATAGTAATCTCTGGGGAAACAGAAATGAATCAACTTTTAAATATGATCATATATCGCCCATCAAGATTGGATGCAAACATAAAAATGATTTTCGTCCAAGTTCCTGTTTCCTGAATTGTATGTAATTATACAGTATTTTCTACATAAAACCTCCCTCTCAAAAATGGAGAGGTAGTTCAGTGGCAGAGGGCTTGCCTAGCATGTGCAAGGCTCTGGGTTTGATTTCCAGCACTGCAAAAACAAAACCTCTCTGGATCTTAACCTAGTTTTTAAAAATTTTTTTGAGTTGTAGATGAGCACAATATCTTTATTTATTTACTTGTTTGTTTTTATGTGGTGCTGAGGATCTAACCCAGGGTCTCACACCTGCAAGGCAAGTGCTCTACCACTTACCTCCAGCTCCAGCCCCTTAACCTAGTTTTTAACCTTGAATTTCAATGAGTATTCTAGAATTGAAACTTTTTTTTCTCCCACCCACTCCCTCCCTCTCCGCCCCTCTAGAATTAAAACTTGATACTTTTTGTTTTCTAGTTACTTATTCATTCATTGAACATTCAACAAATATTTGTTGACCACTCTGTGGTAATCATTGTTACAATCTTTGGGAATACTGCAGAGAAAAAGACTAAAGATAAAGAGGTGAATTATTTTGGTGTCTATTCTGCATCATAGAACAACTCTGTACAATGGTATTTTCTGTAATGATGGGCATGTACTATATTCATGCTGTGCAATATGGTTGTCTGATATAGAAGTCAAAAGTGGCTACTGAGTATTTGAAGTTATGGCTAGTGTGACTGAAGAATTAATTTTTAATTTTATTTAATTTCATCTAACTTAAATTTACATAGCCACAAGTGCCTAAAAACTATTGTATAGGAAAGCACAGATATAAAAGGAGTCATGTAGAAAGTCTAAGATAGCCTAAAGGAATTAAACAAATTACCTAAAGAAGTTTCATTTTTCCTGTAACATAGTTTGTTCATTAATTTACAGCTTACTATTTACCATTTGAAATTTCCAAGTGACAACTAAAAGAATGGAGTAGTTGTGTGTTAAGATAACTAACAAGTGTACTTCATTAACTTCTAGAGAACCATGGATATTTGAGAATTTGCCAAAAAGAAAAAAAAAAAAAGGAGGGAACATAATTTAAAGTGTAATTACATATAGAGTTATATGGTAAAACAGTACATAGGAGTCATACTTTACTATAAAATATGAATTAAACTACTTCATAATTAAAAGATTAAATTATGGAATAAGTGCTTGATTTTATTTAAAACCAGAGGTGCTTTACCACTGAGCCACATTCTTGGTCCTTTTCATTTTTTATTTTCAGACAGTATCTTTCCTCACTAAGTTGCTGAGACTGGCCTCTAACTTACCATTCTCCTGCCTCAGCCTCTCGAGTTGCTAGGATACAGGCATGTGTCTCCATGCCTGGCTAAGTTCTTTATTTTAAAGAATAAGTCACAATAAGTTACCTTTAAATAAGGAATATTTTTCAGTTGATTATTCAAATTTAACCATATTAATTAACCTAGACTTTTCAGAAATATTTCTTTTCCACAAAAAGTCAGAAGAAACTCCTAAATAAGAACTTCTCTCCAATTTAAGTTTGTTCTAGATTATTCTATTAAAATTCATTTCCCTGAAGAATTGAAATCAATGGCACTTGCTGGTCTGTGTCTAGAATTAACAGAAGCCAACAGTTATGGAATTAGCCCATTGATCTCAGTGTTGTCGAACCTGCAAGTGTGTTACCCACTTATGAATGGAAGCTCTTTATCCACATCTTGCTCCTCCTGCTTCTTTAATTTAATAAATGTACTTGCTGGGTAAAGACCAAATAGTGACTAACATAATCAAAAAAGGAACAACTAAAATAAGAATAAACTTAATTTTCATTACGAAGAACACATTTTCTTTATGACTAAGAAATACACAGCAGATTGTAATAGAAAAAATATGGACTTTGTGCTCAAAGAAACTTGGATTTAAATTTTAACTTTATGATTTATTAGCAAGTGACTTTTGGCAGATTGCTTAGTGATACTGTTCTCAATATTGATAATGCTATTTTATGTATTAATGTAAGAGTTAAATGAAAAGATGAAGGAAAGAAAGTGGTACACAGTGGATAATGTTAGATGAGTCCCTCTTTTCCTTGTTCTTTTTCCTTGCATTATAATTAAAGTAATAATCCATGTCTAAATCTGGGTGTAAAGATCAAGCAAATCTGGGAAATGAAAACTTCTTTATAGTATTCATAATTTTTTCTTCAAGAAAAAAAGGACCTTGGGCAATGCAAGATAGCTTATTCTTTTA